TGACGATGATGAGGTTGGTGATGACGATGATGAGGTTGGTGATGACGATGATGAGGTTGGTGATGACGATGATGAGGTTGGTGATGACGATGATGAGGTTGGTGATGACGATGATGAGGTTGGTGATGACGATGATGAGGTTGGTGATGACGATGATGAGGTTGGTGATGACGATGATGAGGTTGGTGATGACGATGATGAGGTTGGTGATGACGATGATGATCGCAATGCTGATGACAATGAAAGCAGTATGAAATATTTAATTACACTTTTTTGATGATGTTGATGATACTGACTGAGAAGAAGTTGTTGAATTTAGATTACAATCATAGTGTGATGATGACGACGACGATGTTAGAGAAGTAACTGCATACAAACACACACACACACAAACACACAACCAAACACACACAAACACACACATACATACCTTTTGCAAACCTTTTCACACGTTTATAGTTCTTACTTCATTTTAAATTCATTCAAAAAAAAGCTTTCTCTATCATTTTTTATAAGTTTTCTGAAAAACTCAAAAGTTAATATACGCAAACATGCACATTTTTTAACGCGTCGTTAATTTTAAAATCAATTTTGCTTAAAAACAAAGCAACAATTTACAAAGATACAAAAACTATAAACAAAAACACACAAACATAAATACAAACAAATACACATACATACAAACAATCAAACGCACACAGACACACAAAAAATTTTAGCAGCATAAAAACAATTGCAAACGGACTAAAACGTAAATAAATAAACATAAGCAAATATACAAATATACGAACAGGCAAACATACAAACAAACAAACATACGAACAAGCAAATATACAAACGCAAACATATAAACGCTAACATACAAACAAACAAACATCGACACGACCAACGCTATCCTGCCACCTACTGACTGACGTGCAGACGGATTAGCGACTAGTTAGTCTCCGTCAGACGCCATTTTGTAGCACGTGACGTGCCAAAACAACACGTGACCGGTTTTAACTGACGTCATTTCCTGTTGTGTATTTGTTTTTGCGTATTTCCTCCGAAGAATTATTTATACCGCTAGTAACAGCAGTCAGAAGATGTTTTCCGTGGCCAACTTCAACAACTGCACGCTTTGTATGTTTGCAAAGATGCATCCAGTACAAGAATGCTTTCATTTGTATTGTATGAGTATTTTTATGTATTTTTATTAGGTATTCCATGTACTGCAGACAAAAAAAAACATGCATATGTATTTGAAATCATACACAAATACACATACATACACACACACACATACACACACAGACACACACACACACACACACACACACACATATGTCCACCAGCGTCAAGTGTTCATTGTTTGGCTGGTTTTGTGGACTTGATCGCACTACTTAAACGTGCTTCCTGGCACTTGTTTTGCTATTTGTATGTGTTTCTTTATGTGTTTTTGTATGTGTGTGTCTGTTTGTATGTGTGTGTTTGTTTGTATATGTCTGTCTGTTTGTATGTGTGTGGTCGTATGTGCGTTTGTTATGTGTCGTATTAAACTTTTATATTTGTAAGCATTCAGCATTCATCCATTTATTTTTTTTATCTATTTATCTATTTATCTCTGTCTTTCTGTCTGTCTGTCTATTTATCTATCTATACATCCAATTATCCAATTATCTATCTATTTATCTCTTCAACTATTCAACTATCCATTTGTTCATCCATCCAACTATCAACCCAGCCATCCGCTGCTCTATTACTGAAATAACTTCCTACTTCCACGTTCCTACACGGACAATTGAACAGCTGATTGGCATGACATCATATCGCCACAGCATGTCACGTGATGAGTGGATGCTATTTTTAGAAATTATCCTTTCGTACGTCCGCGTTTTCAAATTCTCTCTTGTTGTATGTAGAGTGGTAGTTGTAGTAATTATTTCGAACTGTCTTCTGACATCAACTGATGATGACGATGACGATGGCGATGATGATGACGATGGCGATGATGATGACATTGATGATGATGATGTCAACATCAACACCATCATCATCATCATCACCAGTTGCAGTACCGACATGCACCGGTTGTACGGAACCGATATTCGATCGATTCATCTTGAAAGTTCAGGAGCGCTCCTGGCATTCGAAATGTTTGAAGTGCAGCGACTGCCACAGCCACTTAAGCGACAAATGTTTCTCAAAAGGAGACTATGTGTATTGTAAGGATGATTTCTTTAGGTAGGTTCAAGTTCGTTCGTTCGTTCGTTTGTTTATTTGTCTGTATGTTTGCTTGTTTGTTTTTTTGTTTGCTTGTTTTGTTTGTCTGTATGATTTGTTTTATTATTTGTTTGTTTGTTTTATTATTTTGTTTGTATTGTTTTATCATCCTCAGACAACAAGTTGAATAATCCAACACACAAAAACACCCACCCACACATACACGCACGCAGACACACACACACGCACAAACACGAACACAAACAGGAGATTTGGAACAAAATGTGCCGGTTGTGACCAGGGCATCCCACCGACGCAGGTGGTCCGGAGGGCCCAGGACCACGTTTACCACCTGGAATGTTTCGCATGTTCCATCTGCAGCAGACAACTGAACACCGGCGATGAATTCTACCTGATGGAGGATCGCAAACTCGTCTGCAAGAATGATTATGAGACCGCCAAGACGAGAGGTATGTGGGGGCTGTTGATGACGTTGATGATAAAAAAGAAATATATATTTTTTCCGTGACTTTGCTTTGACGTAATTTTTGTTTTTAACAATTTACCGTTAAATTTTTTCCACCCCGTCACCGTACTTTTTCTTCCAAATTTCTTCAGCTGAATTCGACTTAGACAACGCCAACAAGCGACCACGAACGACGATCACGGCCAAACAGCTGGAGGCCCTCAAACGGGCGTACAACGACAGCCCCAAGCCCGCCAGACACGTGCGAGAACAACTTAGCGCCGAAACTGGACTGGACATGAGAGTTGTTCAGGTGTGTTCTCTCAAACTTAACTTTCGAATATTTTCTGTTGAAAGTGTGTTTTATATTGTTTTCAATAGGAGTGAATGCTTTATTACATTAGAGACTCAACAACCATTAAAGTTACACAAAATTCAGCAAAACATGCATGCAATTCGCATCATTTTTTTATCACACACTTTTGTACACGCACAATAAATAGCGCAACAAATAACAAAGAACCAAACGAAACAACACAAAAGAGCTTTCATTTTCTCCTCGCCAGGTGTGGTTTCAAAACAGACGAGCGAAGGAAAAGCGGTTGAAGAAGGATGCAGGCAGGCAGAGGTGGAGCCCTTACTTTCGGAACATGAAGGATGGAAGAGGGAACGACAATGATGATCACAACTCCCTGCTCGATGAACATGCAAGCCTCAACCTGCATGATAGTTTTGCAAGTTCGTGTTGGTGATGATGTTGTTGTTGTTGATGATGATGATGATGAGGTGGAGAAGATGATGATGATGATAGTGTGGTGATGATAAGATTACGAAGCAGATGATGATGTGAGTATGTACGTTCAGTAAATACAAACATATGAACACACGCAAATGCAACAACAAATAAAAGCACAATAGGCTAACAAGTAGAATACACAATATTTAACAGAAGAAAATACAACCTTTCGTCATACAAATACGTATGCGCGCTTGCTGAAAAATACAACATTCACACAACTATGCACACATGTGCAAGCACACACAAACGCGAACACACACACACACACAAAAGAAGAAGAAGAAGAAGTAGGACAGCACAAAGCCATCTACTTGATGGATTAAATGCCTTCTCCCAACATCCACACGACCTCAGCGCTACATTTTACCGTCCTGTTTATGCGCTCTCCTTAGAATAAATGCTTCTGAATCTCTCTTTTTCTTTTTCTCTCTCTCTCTCTCTCTTTCTTTTTGCTTTCCTTTTCTCTCTGGGCGTGAATGTGCGCAATTAAGCAGTTGTTAGTGAATTTGTACATAAATGTTTTATACGCGCACATATTCGGGATATACTAAACAGGCATTTGTTTGTCTCGTTCGTTCCGCCTACATATCAACGAATGAGTGGGCGCATGTTCATGCAAACATCAGTGCCACAAACCTGGAAGAGTGCCTGCACGTTCAGAAATATTTTTGTGAACATGTGACATTTTGAATGGCATTAGTTGTGTCCTGTAATAGAGTGGGTAGAGGCAGACCTACCTCTAACAAAGCAGTCATCAAGTAAAACGTGCAAGCTGATGAGTTAGAGTAGATTTTATTCCTTAATTAGTAGTAACGTGTAAAATTCTTACAGCCAGAACATTTGTCAAGCTGACGTAACTTTAACAAATTTTAACAAAAATCCCACACGCGTATAGATAGCTATCATCAAAACAACATACAAAAAATATTGTTCATGAAAGACGTTGATACAATTTTGTATTAAGGTATGGTAGGTATATACAAAGCAAACAATGCAACATGTGCACACGCACGCACACATACACAAACATGCAACATAACACAAAAACATACTTGTACGTGTTTACAATGTATGCAACAAAAATAGCAAAAATTAACGGAGGAATATATATGTAAGAACACACACACAGCTTAACACACACACGCTTACACACACACGCTTACACACACACACACACACACACACACACATGCATACATACAAACAAACAAACATGCATAAGTAGCAAGCGACTTTCAGATTAATTTCCTCTCCAACTTATTTGGTCTGGCAACAAAATATTTTCATTCATACGTAACACGACGCAATGCTGCTCAAACTGAGCTGGTGAAATTAATTAACAATATTTCTTCATTATTATAATAATTAAAATTTATAATTATTAGTTAAAATTTATAATTATTAATTAAAATTAATATATAATATTGCTCGAAATTCGATTAGCCATATTATTTTTTGTGCGTGTGTGCGTGTGTTCAGATAATACTGATAACAAACACACTAATCAGCCAACCAACCAACCAACCAATCACAGACGACTCAGACAGTTACGACATGGCGCCTCCAGTAAGAGTAGCAGGTGCAAACAGCGGGGGACTCTTCGGCCCTGGCCAACCACTCGATCACGAACCCAACATGGGTCAGGTGCCCCTAATCTCTCCAGGCAGTCCATCCAGTGGTAACAACAACAACGGCAACATCAACAACGCAGCTGGAAATAATCTTCTGAATGAAAATCCCTGGATGCTAGGGTTATCATCCAACCAACAACTACATCTTCAGCAGCAACATCACTTCGGCAGGTTGGCTCCACTCCCACCGTTACAACCATCCAACAACACGAACAACGGCAACAACATCAGCAACAATAGCAACAACAACGGAGGCATGCGGTTTTTAGGAGCGGGCTGTCCATCCCCTAACAACGTGTCCATTCTCTTGCAGGGCCCGCCGCCACCACCGCCCTCTGGTTCTCTCAATTTGGAGTCCTCAGTCCCTGGTGATTTCGCTAGTGGTCTCGTTGATGGGGATGCTTTTTCAACATTTCGGCAACACCATCATCAGCAACAGCAACAACAGCAACATGATTTGCAATCGAATTCGCAACAAAGTCATGTTGAAACTTATTAGTTTATTGTCGTTATTATTGTTATTGTTGCTGGTTATTTTAATGTGCATCTTAATTCGAAATGTGTGTGAGTTTATTTGTTAATTTCTGTCTTAATATGAAGGAAAATTTCGTGCTCAACTTTAACTAATCTTTATGTATTTTATAATAATTAATCTCTTTAAATGTAAACCATCCCGACTTAAATGAATATTCATTTTTGAGAGAAAGATTTTTAAAATGGTTCTAATACATTAATCACGGTACATTTTCAAATTGTGAATTAAATATTCTAGATGATAAACCAATTGTATATGAAATTTATATTTTATAACGATTTTTTCAACAGTTTAACAATTGTACAGTGATCAATAAGCGAAAGAATTCGTTGCCATCTATCTAGTCCTATTTCAGTCATTTTAATTTTTCCAATTTGTATTTATTTTATAATATATATATATATATATATATATACAATAAATATATATATATATATATATATATATATATATATATATATATATATATATATATAGTTTAACTAACTTATTATTTAACATCCTATTAACGATGAAAATAAAATTTCAAATATTGTTACATTATATTTGAAATGGTTAATTTTCTTTACACTATAAAAGGACAGGTAGAATTATAACCAAAAAATGAAAGTAGTGACGGTTTGGTAGTACATTCATAAAAATTTATTGTCAGTGCAGTGCGGGCTGAAAGGAAAGGCTAGAGAGTTGCTGAGTCAAAACTTCTGCGAAAAATTTATTTAAAAAAAGTTCTTAATCAAAGTGGTATGGCTGCAATTTCTACGAAATCAATTAAAAATCTAGGACCCGTGTAACCGATATTTTGCAAGAATTAGCACAACATTACTTATAAAACTGTTCATTTTAATTCAGCGAGAGCTCAAGTGAAAACTTGTAATAAAAATGAAAAGTTGGAATGGCATATAGAATACTCATTCGATATACTGTTTAATAATCAAAGACATTTTGACTAGTAAATAGATTTAAAAAGGTAAGAACAAACACATATAAGTAATAATTGCTTGCCAGCCATTCGATGAATTTAAGCTTTTTTTCTTTGTTTGGTCTGCAGATCAGCTATAGGAGCTATCAATTGATGATAACAATTTTACAATCAAATAACTGATTACCTGATTTATTGGTAAATTACTATCTTATCTAATTTTAATTAACATTTTACACAACAAATTTAAAAAATTACTCTACAAATTGTTCATTTAATCATTAAATTTTGACAAATTTGTTTCACTGTATGGTTTGACAAACCATAGAACCGATAGACTAAGAAACAATTATTGTTCTTTGTAGTTAAAAGCAAATTCAATATGGGCAGATTGTATGTTGCCGATTTAAAAAGTCAGCAGATTTTAGATAATCCGAAATTTTTTAGCTCGGGTTTTTTCACAAATGTCGGATTGATTGTCGGACAAGTTAGATATTTTATTTTTTTTAAAATTATATCAGTACGTTTCGGCTTGAATGCTAATTTTCCTAACAGATTGACAACTATCCATTCAAATTTTAATTTAATTCAAATTAAATTTATTTAAAATTAAATTATTTAATTTAATATTTTAGGCTTACAGTTAAGCAAGACAACCAACAGCAGAACTACCTAATTGTCTCATTAATTTAATTATAAATTACACCACACAACATCTATTATTTAGTTGTTTAGTTAATTAAGTCAAGAGAATGAATTATATAAAAAAAAATATTTCTAAAAAACTCTTCAAATGATTCTACTACTAATAAATAAATACTAAATAGAAGCCTTCAACTTTTTTTTTAGATTACTGACAACAAAGATTATGTAGTGCAATTGATGAAAACTCCTCTCTTGGATGAGGTAACTGAATCACCAATTGTTGAGCCACAAGTTAGTGATGGGGACAAGAAAGCTACCATTAAAAATTCAATTTCAGAGAAGACCGTTGAGAAATGTGTGTCTATTCATGCAAGACAGGTTATACATCATTTTAATGTTTAAACAAAAAACAATGTTTCAAATCGTAAATATATATATAAGTAAATATATGTATATGTATTTATATATCATATTTAACATAAATTTTTTTTAGTTTTGTTTTACTGTTTATTTGGTTTGCTCATTATTAGTATTTATTTTAAAAAAACTAAATGTTTCAATCTAAGCTTTTTAACTTTTAAATTATAGCCCATAAATGTTTAAGACACTAAATTGTAGGTATTAAGCTTTCATTTTGTCTATTAGGTTCGCCAAATGTTGACAGGGGGCATGGATGTGCTGGGAATATTTGTACATACAACAATGGATGATATGAAGGCATCCATGCTAAGATACAAACAAGTAACTAAGCCATTTCTTCTTCTCGAGCAATGATGCCGTTATAAAAATCTGTATACCTTGTTGTATCTCATAAATTTTGGTCATGATACTGTAAAAGATATCTGTATTTCCTATTTTATTACTAACATTTTGTCCATGAGAAACAAAGTAGCAGGGCTTCTAGTTGTTAATACTCTTAAATTTGATATTTAAACTGTCTTTAAGCAATAAAAAAACTTTACTGTTACATTTTATGATGTTATTTTCATCTGTTTTCTCTCATAAATATATCAAAAGCTAACTATTTTTTACTTCATTTTCAAAATTTAAATTCAAAATCACCACCAATGTGCAGCTGTTGTACAGTGTCTTTGAGGTGGTGAACAAATTTGATAGACACCTATCCTTATCTGGAAGGAGTAATGACAGACTGCTGCTGCATATCTGCTCACAATCTAAAAAGTTCGGGTTTTTTTAAAAATTAATTCTACTTATTTCTTGTCATTTCATTCTTTAATTAGTTTATTTATATGTTGATTTTATTGCTCATGTTTAATATGGTTTTTTATTGATGGTGATGACGGCGGCGACGATGATGACAATGATGATGATGATGATTGCAGATTGACTGCCAGATCGTTCGACATATCAGACTCCAAGGTTTAAATTTTTTGTAATAAATTTTTGTTTATATTCTTTATGATAACTGTTCTAAACCACTGGTTTAATTAATTAACCAAGTAATTAATTAATTAATCAATTAATTTGTTAATGAGTTAATTAATTAATTGATTAATTAACCAATTAGAACACAGGGCAAATGGCAGATTGGAAGTACCAGAAAATATTGGATTCATTCACAAGCTTGGCGACTCGCTTTTCATTGAGAACTTCAATTTACGTAGGGGAGAGCTGTGGCTCTGCTGTGACGTTGGAAGAACAAATTACTGTTAGTAATGTTGCTACTCTGCATGTGTGTGTGTGTGTGTGTGTGTGTGTGTGTGTGTGTGTGTATATATATATATATATGTTGTGTGTGTGTGTGTGTGTGTGTGTGTGTATGTATATATATGTTGTGTGTGTGTGTGTGTGTGTGTGTGTGTGTGTGTGTGTGTGTGTGTGTGTGTGTGTTTCGTAACTTTACATAGAGTTTAATGGCAATGTAACTTTACGCAAAGATTACTGTTAGTAATGTTAAGTAAACATTACTTCTGGCAATGCTTCTTTACACAAAATGTACTCTTAATAATCAGGTGAAGATTATTAATGTTATTGAACTTTTATTTATTTTCGAAATTTTTTAGAACGGCTTAGTGACCAAAGTCCAGTTGATACATGATTCACTGGCTAGTATAAGTGGTCTGGTCATCGAGACTAAAGACGTTGATGATGATGGAGATGCTGATGAGTTGAAGAAAAAGGGAGATATTTCCAGTAAACCAATCGAGATGTTTAATAATAATGAAGGATCTTTAATCTTCAGTGAGGATAACTCTGATGACCAGAGGATGAAATCGGCTGATTGCGATGGTGATAATGAGGAGGAAGAGGATGATGAAGATGATGATGATTACAGTTATGAAGATTACAAGAAGAATATGAATGTGGTTGTGGATTTTTTACAAAATATGGTTTGTTTGTTTGTTTGTTTGTTTGTTGGTTTGCTTGTTTGTTTGTTTGTTTGTTGGTTGGTTTGTTTGTTTGCTGATTGTTAATTTATTTATTTGGTTTGTTTTTAATGCTTGTTTCAGTTAAAATTTTTTGTAAATTATAACACAATTTGCAATAATAAAAAGGATAATTCATAAATAATAATGATTCATGCTGAACACTCCTCAGTCCACTAAAATAGACCAGCCCTTGGAAAGTCCAAATGTACAGAGATGTGGGGCCAAAATTCTGATACACGGCACTTTGATTGGGAAAGCTTTTGTGCATTGCAAGACATCTGTTAAAGAGGCCATGAAGGTCCATGATGATGATGATGATGATGATGGGCTTGTGATGATGGTTGTGATGATGATGGCGGGGTATTGCTGCTGATGACGATACCAACAATGATGATGATGATGATAGTGATGAGAATGATGACGAATGGAGACGATATAGTTTTTTTTAAATATTATCTCGCCAGGCTTTGAAGCGTGACTTGATAAGGAGTTTGCTGACAAGATGTGAGTTGGTTTGCCAGGATCTCTTGCAAACTGAAGAAGATCAATGTTAGACCTGGGGGTGTGCCATTTTACCATCATTTTTCTCGTTACTCAACTAGCTGATTGTCATCATCATGATCTCCATCCTCATTGTCATCGTCGTATCATCGGTATATCATCACTATATCATCATTGATTTATCATCATCGTATCATCGATGTATCATCTTCGTATCATCGATATATCATTGACAGCTGAATTTCGTGTGGTGTACGAGACGCCGATGCGAGCATTCGCGCCTTTGAAATCCTCCTCCATCTTCTTTTCTGATTATTACTTCCAGGAGGAGACAAAGCAGGATAGTCTGGAGAGATTCCGAGATGTTATGGGACTCTGTGATCTGAAATCCAAGAACGTTGATCACGCTGTCGAAGTTCTACCAGGTTTGGAGTGATGATGGTTGTCGTAGTGGTGTCAGTTTTCATGCTATATATATATATATATATATATATATATATATATATATATATACATCTATATATATCTATATTTATATATATATATCTCACCCAAACAACAGATTCGAAAGATTTGGAGATAGCAGAGCACATGCAGTTGGGTGAAAACAACAAATATTACGAAGACATATTCTCTGAGAGGAGTAGAAACTACACAGATTACGCCGGCTCCATTGGATGCAGGCCTGATAAGAAGAGGAGAAACAACACGCTGTGTAGTGTAGAAGGTGGCTTGACTGATAGGGCTATCAACTTTCTTCTACAACCGTTCTTCCGTTAGTTTTTGTGTCTCTTTGTGTGGGTGTTTGTTTTTTTGTGTGGGTGTTATGTGTTTGTGTGTGTGTGTGTGTGTGTGTGTGTGGTGTGTGTGTGTGTGTGTGTTTGTTTATTGATTGCATAATGACAGGCTGGTTGGTTGGTTGATTTAAAAAATAATTTGGTTAAATAATTTTATTCATCTAGAAGATTTGTTTATATGTTGTTGACAACTCTTTTTAAAAATTAACTCCGTGTTATTAGATCAAATTTGTAAATTATAAATTTTCAGATATTCCTGTTGGTGTGCTCTTGGCCATAGTTGCTCTCCTGGTAGCTCTATTTTGGGGCGTGAACACCTCCTACTTTCTGCCATCAGTCAATAGAAACAGGGGCCACAGTTGACCTGCTTTCCTATTGGCTACAATTTTATTATAGTCGATTTGACTGAATTTCAGTCAAGCAAACTTGCGCTTTTTTCAAAAATTTGAAAAATAATTGTAAAACCAGAACTCAACGAGTAACTAATCAATTAATTAATTTGCTAACTAGCTAATTTGTTTGGGTTAATTAATTTATTTAATTATTTCAATTAAGAACAATCATAGTAATGTGGTTATTATTAGGAAGAATTAATAAATTAGTGGAACATGTATGTATGGTATGGTAAATCTGCAATCTTTATTCTTGAAATATTTAAAAATTATCTTCATTGTAAAAGTTGAAATAAAAGTATATGCAATTAAAATGGATTATATATATATATATATATATGTGTGTTTAAAAGGTACATATTTATATAATATATATACACAAGTATTTATATATATGTAGTATATATTTTGTATATATATATATATATATATATATATATATATATATAGAGTATATAATTATGTATATGTAAACATTAACACGTGACCACGTGCGTAACTAATGTAACGTATAGAAACTGTTAATAACATTAATAAAAGTTTAATTGATTTATTGCCGAAAACAATTAGAATCGAAAAAAAAAGCTGCGTGATCTCTTTGTGTGTGTGTGTGTGTGTGTGCGTGTGTGCTCTTTCACGCGTGTGTTTGTTAAATAAATTAAAACTATACATCATAATTAGCGTTATTACGGACACCTTTAATCATTCCGTCATAATACAAATTTTAAATACGTGCGTGTATGTGTGCGTACGTGTGTGCGTGCGTGCGCGTATGTACGTGTGTGCGTGCGTGCATTTAACACCTGAGTTGTCATTGGAATGAATGTGTGTCGAATGTTCATCGGAGTTTAGTAGTCACGATGGATGGATGGATGGATGGATAAATGAATGTATAGATGGACGAATGAATGAAGATGGAGAGATGAACTTTTAGAGAATGTAATTTTTTTTATAAATTTAATTGTAAGATAAGCCGAAATGAGTTAAGTAGATGTAATGTGCTTTCTATTGGACAAAGTTAATATCGGGAAAAAATTGTGACCAGTTTCTTCCTGTGTCTATGTTTTTTTCAAATCTATGCATGTTTGATTTTTGTGTGTTTGCATATATATCGTTTCATATATGTGCGTGTGTGTATGCGTGTGTGTATGCGTGTTCGCGCGCGTTAGTGTGTATTATTATGTATGCGTACGTATGAGTAGCGTTAATTAGTCTGGCGTTTGTTGGTCGTGCTTTTAATTCTGTTTTAAAGTTGCTTTCATCTTACAAACTTTCAATTTAAGGCGAGAGATATCGAGGAAATTTTCCACTCCCTTCTCTTCGTCGAATCTAGTTGCACGCACAATTTCCTGCGTAGGCACGCGCACGTGCGTGTGCATTTCTGATCACGCACATACGTACGCATGTGTGTGTATGTGTGTGCGTTTGCGTCGGTATTTTTAACAGGCAGGTATCATCTTGTATCCTCATTTAAATGGATTAGATATCTCGCTCTATCTGTTGCCTCTTTTTATCCAATCTTTTATCCAATCATAAACTCTTTTTATCCAATATACCTTGTACTACTTGGCTAAATTGTAATTTTTACACTTGTTATATCATGCGTTAATCGAATTTGATTCAAAAATATATATCAGTGTTTTAAATAATTCAGGTTATCTAGGTTTAAAGATAGTTTATACATGCCTTCACGGACGCACGCACACATGCACACACACACAATTAAATACACATGCATACTTGAACACGCACACATACAAACGGAAACACATAGATATAAACATACATACCTACATACAGACAGACAGACAACATGCCGAATCAAAATAAAAACTTGACGCGAGTAGTGAATGAAATACTCAAAAAATCGATGTACCTACCTCCCGATGACATTAACAGAACAAGCGATGCTCCAATCAAAACAACCAATAATAACCACATCAATCAAACTGGCTCACACACAAAACTCACATACAAACAAACATACATACATACATATGTACATACATATGTGGGGAAAAATAATAGTTTTTACGACTGTTGTTCGTAACCATGGGCTCGTACATGCACACACACATACATACATACACACAAACATACATACATACATAAATGCGTTTGCTTATACACACATACATACATACGTGTATAATCATATGATATATATATATATATATATATATATATATATATATATATAAGTAGTTCTCGACAAGGTAAGCGACAATCTTTAGATTTAAAATAAATTGGAACATTATCACGCGTTTGACATCTTCTTCCGAGAAGAATATCAATATATTATTAATTATTGTAATATCATCTCTAATCAATAGCTACCTATTGTAACGTTTACATTAATGTAATGGGCTATCACAGTCATTTTATGTAATTTCCACTGACATTAACAACAATATAACATCACTATCTACTGGTATAAAAACTATGATTCTAAGTTAATTTTTTGCATATATTTTTAAGTTTTATTTCATTTGCATATTCATTACATTAATGCATATTCATTACGTTAATACTACCTCACATTAATTTCATCACATTAACATCGTTCTTAGCACATAAACTAACTAAATGAAAACAATAAAATAGGCTTACTAATGTAATGAAATCATCAATAATAGTATTAGCATAGACGACAACATCAACAAAAGTTACAACAACAATAATAATAATAAAAAGAATGAATAACAACAACACTAACATCAATTTGCTATTTCTCAAAAATAATTTCTATGACATCAACAACGATAGTGGCAACTTCAGCGGCTACATCAACGACGACGATGGCGACAACAACAACATCATCAACAACAGTAATAACATTACTAACAACAACAACAATGGCATTAACTTTTCAAATGACTCCTTACAAGGTATATGAATAAATTAATACAGTTTTATCAAATAGCGAAAATTTTTTATCATAACAACAATTGATTACGTTGATAATGTTTATTAATAATAATCATTTCATTTATTTAAACTATTTTTAAAAAATATTTAAAAAAAATGAAAACTACACTAAGTGTCTGTGACATTAATCACAACAACAAAATCAACAAAACACTAAAAGACAAAAACCCATTTAACAAGGCAATGATTTTAGCATTAAAATGGTAACACTTATTCCATTGCAGTAATGTAACGTGAAGTCAATTGCCTATAACATTAACAAGACAACAACAAAACGACATTAATAATGACAACAACAATAATAAAAACAATAACATCCTTAACGAAATCACTGTAAGATCAAATAATCGTCACATAATAACAACTACTACTGCTACTATACATTTAAAATATATTTTAAGTTTATATTAATAACAATAATTATCATTATTAGTAATAATAATAATAATAAATATAACTATAATTAACTATTTAATTATTCATAATTAGTTGTAAAAAAACTACATTAACATGAATTCAGAATCAGATTTCTTGATGAGTGAGTTGACGAAGAAGAACTTCAGAAGGCATCTGAGTACTTGGGCTAAACAGATACCGATTATTGTCGGTTAGTTATTATCATTATCAATACCATCATCATCATCGTCGTCGTCATCATCGTCATCGTCATCATCATCATCGTCGTCGTCATCATCATCATCATCATCGTCGTCATCGTTATTTCTGGTTAGTTAATTATTATAATTATGGTTAATAATAATAATGATAATAATAGTAGCAGTAGTAGTAGAAGTA